CCGAGACTGAGGTCAATCCTAATTCTCATTGCCCTGCTATCGGTCTATTCAATTAAGTCCACCCTTTCTCATTCTCCAACTACCCCTCACTCACTCGGAGGTGTTCCTCACTCACTCGGAGGTATTCCTCACTCACTCGGAGGTACCCCTCACTCACTCGGAGGTACCCTTCACTCACTAGGCAGTATCTCTCACTCAATCAGAGGTATCCCTCACACATTTGGTATACATCTGAATTAGTTTCTTCCCTTACTACTGTTATCATGGCATTTCCTTCATATACTTCACGTCTTGTAAACACTTGAGTTTCTACTGTAGGTAAAAGTAACATATTACCCTGGATGATATTACAGATTAAAGACGATGAATGCACAGTTGAAGAGTTCTTTGAGCTACATATTAAACACTGCCTCTCTTTTTCATCTTGCGATTCATCCATGTGAGGATACGAGTGACATTCCAATGGCCCTAGCTCCTATAGAAGAACGTCTCCAAAGCTTGCCCTTATTTGAAGTTTTACATTTTACTGATTTACTTCCAAAGGAACATTCAGCAAGACACAGAGTTGTTAACTTTTTAATAGCTTTTGGTTAGTCAAGTCCAACTGTTCTTATATATTCACCTGGAAATAATGTTGGTAACTGTCACTTTTTATGGAGAGTTCCAGATGATGCCACAGATCAGGAAAGTTTGGAAAAAAGTGCTCCTTCAGCAGAGAAGGCAAAACAACAAATTCCTGTATTTCACTTGTGCGCCAATAGGCAAGAAATGTTTACTAAAATTGGAAGAGTATCACAGGCAGTAAAGCCTTCTGTATTAAGGTGTTTTTACAAGAATCTGACTGGTAAGTTTTTGAAAATCCTCTTAATTTATACTTATGCATTGATAGGTGATCAATCAGCATCTAGTAATTTACATCAAGCAGAGGTAGATGAAAGGGTGAAGAGGATTATTGAGATGGAAGACCCAGATATAGTTGATGACCTTCGTCGGCATAATGGAAAGCAGGGGACTCTATATGAAGATTTTTGGACTGAGTGTTAAAAGTTTTTAAATGAAGAAATGCAGGTTGCTGTTGATGATAGACACCATGGTTTCATCATGCATCTGGCTCGTGCCATCTCCATGAGAGATTTTGTAGCACAAATAGCAAAGCGTTGTCCAGAAAACACACCCATTCCATCTGTTGAATGGGTTCGCTTGCAGTTTTGGCCAAAGATTCCATCATCACATCAGTCTCTTCACTATACAGGTCGTTTTAAACTTAAATTTATGGTACAGCAGAGACAGTGGAGGAAGTACCATATTGATTCACACTATGCTGCTGCCCTCTACAGTTATCTGAGAGAGTATGCAATAGCTTTTAAAGATTACTGTGGCTTTGTTTCTTTGGATGACAAACACAAGATTAGCACAGGTGAGCCTGGATTCCCAGTAGCTGCAGCAGAGAGAGGGAGATGAGTACCAGTACGAGAAGATGAGTATATGACTGTAGGGGATCGTGATTTTACCATTTTTTTCTTATACCATCAGTGGTGTTTGTTATAGAAGTACCTGATCAAATATGTGATACATGGTATTCAGGTTTGTGAACTACATGTATAATTTATTACAGTACATGTACTCATGGTCTATGCATAGATCAGTCATTCTGATGTTTATAAAATATAATGGGGTGTGTGCAATTTACTTAACTAGTTTCAATTTCATTTCAATGATTCATACAAGCATGTTTTGTTCGTAATGGGCATAATCCTTACAAAAAAGCCTATGTACATGTACTTGTCAGGAAAAGACATCAAAATCTAAACACAGCTTAAACATTTAAGTCTATTCATAAATAGATGTATGATATTGATGGTACATACAATTATTGTGTATGTAGTAACAGTTTTTACTTGGTGTGTGCATTTATAGTAATACAGTAGATTCTGCTATTATGAGACATGAGAGACTATCTGTAATTTCATTGGCATTGTTCAATGCCTCTCTACTTTAAAAACAATGTACTAGTGGGGATCAATGTGTTCCATGGAATCCTCTGATTGATACAATTTATATTATTGGCTAAACCCACTTAATTGATGTTGACTCATCCCCTTTATTTTATGGATTAATGTATTTGCATGGAATTGATTCCATAATGTAAATATTACTTAGCTGTCATCTTTTGTTTGTACATAGGGTCAGCTTATGTAGGATTAAAAGATTCTGTTTTTCAGCACTCAACTCCTAATCGTCATTCTTGTGAGCTGTATAAAATCCTTCAGTCTCAATTTTTTTCAAAACCTGTCTTGTTCATATACTCGGATGGAGGACCAGATCACTGGCTAACTTATTGGTCTGTCAAGTTTTCGTTAATATCTTTATTTTTAAAGCTAGATCTTGATTATTTATGTGCAGCTAGGACAGCTCCTTTTCACTCATGGCAAAATCCTGTTGAAAGGGTGATGTTTAACCTTGGATTACAATGTGTTGGACTCGCCAGGGCTAAAATGCCAGAAGAATTAGAGAAGAAAGTTGCAAAATGCAGCACTATTGCTGATATAAGAAGCCGATTAAGAGGAAAGGAGTTAAAAGTACAAGACAGCTTGTCAACGGTAATTATTCTCCTAAATGATATTTTTACTAGACTCAAACTCCATGATAAATTTATACAATCATTCTTTTCAGCCACTTCAGCTGAAATTAGTGACTTTTGGTCTGCTATTATATCTATTGATGCTACGTTATCTGAAGATGCAGTTTATAGATGGGAAACAATGAAGGACCATCCTAAAGTACTTAAGTTTATTGATCATTGTTGCCAGGCAGGACATTATTCTTTTGACGTTCTTAAATGTGGAGAAACGTCATGCAATATTTGTGCACCCATTCGTCTGCCACTAGATGTTTTTAAGAAATTGCGTCACATTCCTTTTCCTGTTCCTGATGGTGATGGAGGGCACTATCTCCCATTTGCTGATGTTTTTAGCCCAAAAGATGAAAATACAGAAAAATACTGACCCTCTTATAAGCCCCCTGGAGAGTTATTATCAAAAAGAGCTAAAAGGAAGCTGCCATATTATGCACATGTACAACATGCTAAGAACAGTGACCTAATGCTGCAGTGTGCAGAGTGTGATATGTGGAGGCTTATATTTTCCAAATATAAATTAAAGAAAGAGGAGCGAGAACAGCTTCAGATATTATTGCAAAATTTCATTTATACCTGTGGATCGTCTTTAAAAGAATTAGATCTACCTACTGTCTGTCTGTATGTAGATGTCAGAGATCATGATTGTTTTGAACCAATAGAAGTACTGTACTATTCTGCTAATAATGATCCTATATGTATATATTGTGCTAAAGAGCAACCTTATGTTGAAGAGAATAAGTATCTTCAGTGTCAGTTGTGCTCTGATAAACCAGCTATTAGAAAAAGACAACTAAAGAAGTAGCTATGAATATGTTTATTCATTTTTGGCTTTTAAAAATAATGTTTATTTAGCGACATTATAATCAAAATTTATAATTAAAATTAACTTACCGCCCGCCCGCATCAGTACCGCGTGTGTAAGGAGAAACTACAAATCTAATTGGAGTGGCCTAAACCAAGTAATTTTATTGCAACTGCCTAATGCTGCTCTTAAACTTTGAGAAAGGAGTCCAGGGAGCGTTACAGGCTCCTTCCTTCCTTTAATTGGTCCTCATTCTTTCTCTTGTCTTAAACAGAGCTCTTCGGTCACATGACTTCTTGTCCTACACGTGGTTCAAGCGATCTGATTGGGACTTGAATTTCTCTGCATGAGCACACACTTTTACCTTGAGTGTCTCCAGACCCTTCCTCTGCAGGTAGCGAAAGGGCGGGGCGAGACTACTCTTCCCCATTGAATACTGTACAAAGTGCATGTATACCTCCATCATGGTGTCCAAGATAATTTTTTGATTTACAGTATAAAAGTGATTATCATTAACAAGTCAATTAATATCATGTACATGTATCTCATTCACAAGGATTTGCCAATGGTGGATAAGAACTGTGTAATAATGGTGTAATAAAATTGGCTTTTGTATGTACACGTACATGTATGTGTACTTTATTTGTTGTGTTTCTATCTTATAGAGTAAGTGCATGGACTCCATTACATGGAGCAGATGCCAATGATAAGATTGATGCTATCCAGTGGTTACTGGAGAATGGTGCTCATATTGAGTCTAGAGATGATGTGAGTTGTACATGTACATGTAATGTAGTAATGTACATGCATGTACAGATTTAATTTTTTTAGCATTTTTGATTTCAGTTGTTGATCTAAATGTAGGATTAAGATATGGTGTGAGTACTGTACAGCTAAAATCTAAAAACTGTCTCAAATGAGAGAGAATTAGACAGAATTTTATAAATAAAGGTGCATGTAAGCCTTTTGTGAGTGGCCCATACTTCTCTACATGCATGCTTTGATGACCTGACCTCAAGTATCACTGAAGCTTTTTGTGTTTTTAATAAATTTTCATTACTCATCCAAGTCTATTTTTTAATCAATTTTTTACAGGCAACTTTGTGTTTAAGACATTAACATTATTATTATTGTATTAACGACTACAGTTCACAAGATGATATGACACTTGACTGATGAGTATTACTTTATGATTCTGACAGAAAATTCTTGAGTTATGACCCTTTCAAAATATTAGCCATTTCTGAAAAATACCATTGGCTATATCAACCATCAATTACATGATGAACACTTAGCTGATCATTCATAGTCAATATTATTAATAATTATTAAAAATAAACATAACAAGAAACTAACACTATAAGCAACACTACAAATAACTATAGTAAGCAGCACTAATTAATAGCAGTATTACACATAAATTATCCCCTCAACTAACTTTTGTTTAGTTATTTTTAAAATCAGTAGTAACTGTTTCTTGTGTTGAAGAAGAAATTGTAACTTTTGGTTTTATCTTGCAGTCTTCTCCAGTCATAGCATTTTTTCTATTATCAGCATCATTCACTGTACGTTTGGACAGGAACAATACAATGAAGACACGAGGGCAAACAAGCACAGCAACACTACCATGGCACTCATCTGAATGGTGAATGATACCACAGCAGTTTGAAACTTGTCAGCTGTATTAAGATAAGTAAAGATAAATGCTATCCACATTAGACCAAAAGAAAACGTGGAAAATGCAACGTATTTTGATTCGTTAAAGTTTTGTGGGAATCTTATCGTTAAGATGGCAAGTACATTGCTAGCAATAAGGAGAATACTGTAATACACCATGAGAATAGTAATCATTGCTGTATGGGGACTATTGCACTGGACTACAAGTGAT